TCCAATAAAAACAGCTTACCTACTAGGACGACCTAGAGAACAACCAACATGAAATAAGTAAAGAGCAACCAACATGAAAAAGTAAACAAAGCAGCAGATTCTACAATAAAGAATGCAAACTATAAGATGTCCTACTCAGCTTGAAGTCCTACCAAACTATAATACAGATCAAATGAAATGAGTAAGATGCCCAATAGAGAGAAGCTCACCATTATTGTTATAGTATTGGACAAAAAATATATATATATTCAGTGCAATCAAGATCCTAAACCTCGAATTGAACAAAAAGCAAATTGAACTTGCGTAATATTGGGATGCCCAATCTAGAAGACCAGAACCTTCAGAAAAGAACCAACTTCACAATGTTTAAAATACTCGAAAAGGATCTATCAACTACATCCCGACGTCTTTTAAGGTTTTAATCTCTTGGCTAATTCTACAAACAAAAATAACGAAACTATTACTCGGCATTGCTGTCAGTACATTTGTATGTCCATCCTAGAAAAAGAAAGAACCGTCTACTACCAAAATTAAACATAGATTCTGGCAGCATCAATCTACACAGATTGAGCTGAACATTAATGAGCTTCTGCCAAACTTAGTAAAAAAAAGGCAAACATCAGGGGAAAGAAAAATCCAAGCTTGTTCAATAATATACAGATGGTAAATTGGTCAAAAATCCAAAAAGAAATTTGCATGAGAAAGAACAATGATTTCAAAATTTCAAGAACTGTAGTATACACACCTACAAAAGTAGCCGAAGAGTCCAGCCGAGGCTCTTTTAGCCTTTGGTCCAATTTGAAATTAGCGAACATATATTGTAGTCAACTTAAATACATAACCATTCGAAATTAGTGTTTTGAATAAAGTTATCAAGTAGCGAGTCTAGCGACCAGCTACTATACTCCATTATTTGTGCATTAAGAGCAATAATATTGTAGTCTCTGAGAGTTTTTGTGATACCAAAAAAAAAAAATTGAATTTCTCAGTAGTTCAAATTATAATACAAATGAATTGAAACAAGCAAGATGCCCAATGTATAGCAACTTATTGACTTTCATCTCCAATGCACCCAAATAAGACAGTGAAACTGAAATCATCAGGAGCAATGCTCGTTTAATCATATCCTTATGCACAAATTTTACCTATATGCACACATTAATGGTGATCAAGCATACACTAACAAACACCAGCCAATGACAATTATAAGCAACAACACTGAAAGGGAAACCTAATTAGTAAGCCAAAAGAAGATAGATAGTTGTAACCTATATTGTGTTGGGGGCAACCCAAACTGGTATTGGGTCAATAATCTTCACCCTGTTTGGATAATAAGGTTTTATGCAGTTATCATGACCCTCATATGTGTTGTTAAATCCCATAAAGTAATCATCTGAAAAATAGATAGAATTCCCCATCAGCTCAGGATAATCACGAGTAGAGAGAGAGAATGAATGATTAGAGCCCACAAATAGTGCCCGATCACCTAAGCATTCCACAAATTCCCACTTATTGTGATCGAGATCAAACTTATGAACATCAAATCCCAGAGTCCAATAAGCATCGTCATCATGAATGAAGTAATTTTCCCATTCCTCGTCATTATTGTTATTATTCACCACTTTATCAGCTGCCAACCTACGAGGATGCACAATTCCATCTCTAGCAACACTTACAGCTATAAACCTGCAAATCAGCAAAAGATCCCCAGAGGACTCAACTAAATAATTTTTCTCATCCCAATTATAAGATTCATTAATTTTTTTCTCAACCTTCCCAGCACAAAGGTTAGGACTCTCAAACAGTTGCTTTTTGGGACTAGAAGGGTCTCTGAGGTCCCAAGCTTCCATGCAATAATCTGATCTCATGGCATAAAATCGCTGGTCCTTGCTGAAATATAAAATGTCAGCATAACGTCGGAGCGAAACGTCCAACATAGTCCACCTCTCGTCGCCTGGTTTGCAGAAGGCAATTTCATCACCTGCGCTGTGGAGGGTCATTATAGTGCAGTTGTCGTCGAGTTGTGGTTTTGAATCTATTGATAGTGATGAAGAATAACAGGGGAGTTTTGGGGCTGATGACATAACAACCCTTCGAACGAAATAAGAACAGGCGCTTTCGGAGGACAGCTTTTCCTCGTATGTGTCGGCGTCGAAATCGTAGTTTTCGTGGATTAAGATCAAGAACTGTGTGATGAGAGAAGGGGAAGGGGAGGAGTGATCGGATTTGAGGGTGCGAAAGCCGCGAACGGAGGGGATGGTTTCGACGGAAGGGAGGGGGATGTAGGGGAAATGAGGAGAGTCTATTAAGGGATTGTAGAGATAAGGATGGCAATAGCGAGGGTGGTTAAAGGCCAACCAGCCGTGAGAAGAGCCCACGCAAAATGCATCCTTGGGCATAAGGAGATCCCTCTGCCATGGCAATCTAAGAGTCTTCCGAACCCTAAATTGATTCTGCTCCGAAAGGCTGAAGAAATGAAAATAGTCCTCCTCATTGTTCTTGTTGTTGTTGGACTCGTCGTTTTCTGAATTGTTGCGACCGACAAAATCAACACCGGGAGGTACCATGAGCAATGGTGATGAAGACAGTGATCGAGGAGGACTTGCAGGTGGAGAAGGTGAAGAAGAAAAACGCCGGATCGGCAAAAAGGTCGCAGCTTTTTTGAAGCATCCGCCCCCAAGGTGCAAACCACCACCACCACCGGCGGTACTGGAGTTGTGAAAACTCGCCGGGTTGGAACCATTGCACCATATTTTTTGCACAGACCGGTGGCAATACAGCATCCGACCATCTAAACTCCTCCAATTAGCCATTCCTCTCTCTCTCTGCTATTCCAAAACCGTAATTCATACTACTGCAGTAGCATTTAATTCTGAAAATGGTTTACAAACACGACACTTCGGTTGAAGTGTTGGACTTGGGTTCAGTAGCTCTTTTATTGTTTTTAGTCTTAAAGAGTCCGTTATAAGGAAAAAAATTATAATTAAATTATTTTTTAATATGTTAAGTAGATAATATTTTAAAATACGGTGTTAGTACTAATTTTACAATAATATTTCTTTAATAAACATCGTATTTGATTATGGATGGAATTGTCTTTATAAAAAATAATAAGAATACATTTTTAAAAGCTACAAATTTATTAAAATCGATAAGTACTAAAAGTACATTTGATAGTTACCAAACCCATTGATCGTCAAAGATTTAGTTATCAAGCCTTATTAATAGTTAAATTTTTAGTTATCAAACTTTTAAATATATATATATATATATATATACATATTTAAACAAATTTATTTTAAACTTAAGCTTTTGAAAAGCAATTCTAAATTAGTACAATTTTTTTTTACTAACAATACAAACCTGTTTAGTGTCATTAGACATAATCCTAGCCCATATATATGATAAAAACTCAGACATAATTGAGATCAACTTTGGTGGTTGAGGTGCAGGCACAATCCAAATTTAGACATTATTCTAACCGATAAAAAAAAAAAAAAAAAACTTTATCTCTGTAATTCTCGTTCTTAATATCAATCAAATTTTTTTTTTTTTATCCATATTCAACCCAAGTTCAAATTCTCTCTTTATTTATTTATAATAATAATAATTAATTTTCTTTTAATTGCCAGGTTGGGAGGATAAGATGGGCAGAAGGTTTTACCAACTTGAGCTTATGAAAATTCTTCACCTCCTACTCTATAATGTGAATGATTCCCGCAGTGTGTACACAAATTTTCGTCTGAAAATAAAGAGACTGAAAAATAGGCCAATAATCAAAATTATTAATTTTGTAAATAAGTTATTACCAGACAGACCGGTATATTATGTTGGGGGTTAATAATTTTAGGGGGCAATAGTAATATTTTATAGGTATATAATTAAAGAAAATAAATTAATGGAGGTATAATAGTAAAAATAAATTAGGATCGCAATTGTCCCTTGTCCCTCTGTAGATTCGTGCCTTATTACAATCCTCAAAGAATATCTTTTACACAAATACTATATATCCTAAGATTGTCCGAACTTAATCTTGAATTGAATTATTGAGAGTATTTTTTAAAGTATTTGTTATTGAAAAAAAAATAACAATAATTTATGACTAATGACCGAAGAAGCTTTACTTTATGTAGTATAAAAAAGGGCATGATCTTAACACGTTTATTAGTTTATTCTTCCTCAGAGTTAAGTTTTGAAAGAGAGGATATCCCGAGGTGTTCCCTTTTCTTTTTGGAATTTATTGTGGACAATAATTTTCATGTGGACAATAAAAACTTAATTTCTTTCGGGAATTTATTGTGGACAATAATTTTTATGCTTAAGTTTGGTTGATCATGATTGCAAGAATACTAATAAATTCTTGGATAAATTACACCGACCTACTTTCAATATTTAAATAAATTATATACACGTAGATCGTCCAATATTTATAACTTTAACTCCCAAAATATTTAAAATATATGAACATTTTAAAAACTTTGCCATTAGTTTACAAGATGATTAGTTGATGTGGGACAGTCCAATAAACTTCAACCTACCATCAACTTACATTTCTAGGTTCTGATTGGTCCATTTTGTTCGAGTTAAGTTTGTGTTCAATTCGGTTCCTGTTTACATAGGCTCAACTTACAGCCATTTTAATAATAATATAAGTTAAATTTGAGTCCTGAGTCCTGAGTCCTGAGTCATAATCCAAGATTAAAAATTTGAAACTCAAATTCAATTATAGTAGCAGAAGTTATTTCAACTAGTCCAAAAATTGGATTGGGTTTGGATCGGCCCATAAAATTTTTAAAAAGCCCACGGTTCTCAATCCACATAGGAGATCTCAAAAGTGAATTGCAGCGGGAAAATATACCAAATGTCTCGCGCGATTAAAAATTCAAACAACGTCTTGAAAACCACTAGTCTCGCGCCTCACTGTTTCACCCCCTTCCGATTCAATCTCAACTCTCTCTCTCTCTCTCTCTCCCTCTCCCCCCCCCCCACACACACACACTGGAAAAAATGGCGGACTCTTCGCATCTTGAGAAAATGGGCAGAGAACTCAAGTGCCCCATCTGGTAATCTCTGCAAATACATACGTATTACGTATATATGTGTGTGTATAAATGTGTCGGTGTAGATCGATGTTAATCATTGACATGGTTGTCAAATTTTAATTGATTATATTAATTTGAACTCTGTATCTTCCAATGAGCATAATGAATTTTTTTTTGGTTTATATTTCTTCTAGGGTTTCGGAATTTATTCTAGGGTTGAACACTTGAGATTGACATTTGCAATTCTTTTCTATTGTTGCAGCTTGAGTCTCCTGAATTCTGCAGTTTCACTCACATGCAATCATGTATTTTGCAAGTAAGTCCTCTGATTCAGCTTCAATTCCTTTACTTCGTCCTCTCTTTTACACACACATACCAAGGAAGCATTCTCGAAGTGTAAAATTATGAGTCTGATACTTTTGTTCATTGTGTGATTTCAGTTTATGCATTGAGAAATCTATGAGATCAGCTTCCGATTGTCCTGTCTGTAAAGTTCCATATCGGCGTAGAGGTACTTATGATTCTTTGTTTTTTTATTTTTATTTTTATTTAAATGTTATAATTTATGGAAAAAATAGTAAAATATAATTGGAGCTTATCAATGCGAATAATGTGTATAAAATCTTGATATATATATTTTTTCATTAGTTAAAACTGATCTGCTAATATAGCCACTTTTGCATTTTCTTTGTGACAATCAATAATAATTCAATGGTAAATGCTTTTGCTTTTAAACGCGGTGGATAACATAGAATGATTTAATCCTAAACAAGTTTAATTTATCTAGCTGAATTTGTTGATTGGTTTAGTTACTACTCATATCTGTATAGTCCGTGCATTTTTTGATGGATAGGCTAACTGATTAATATTTTCTGCCGTAGAGGTTCGCCCTGCTCCTCATATGGATAATTTGGTTAGCATATACAAGAGCATGGAAGTTGCTTCGGGAGTCAATATATTTGTCACTCAAATGGCACCTTCAACCAAATTATCAGGTAATGTTTCAGTATGCTTATTTGAAACGTGAGCACAAGTTCCAAATGCTAATGCTGTTGAAAGAATTTATTAGTTAATACATACTGTTGGAATTTCATTTATGAATTATGCTTCCCAGGATTAGTATCCTGTTTATGTAAAATAATGCTTAACTTCTTTTTTTTTTTCTTCCTTAGATGGTACTCACACACACATGTCTCCACTAAGGTTCGAACCCTTGACCTCCCTTTGGGAAGTAGGGACCTGGTACCGTTAGGTCATTGGCCCGTTGGAAATATTTCCCATTGAAAGTCGGAAGATTATTGATTTTGTCTAGCTTTATGTTCTGTATGGCGCAATTTATTTATTTATTTTTGATAGTGCATGACTTTTTAATTGAAAGAGGTTTGAAGTGTGCAATGCAAGTAAATTCCTGTTAGTTTAGCAAAAAGTTTTTTTAATTTTTTTATTTATTATAATACAGTAAAGATTTTGTTTTTCTTGTCTGTGATGTGCAAATGGTTAGATATTGAAAGCATCAAGTGGATGCACATAACAGCCTCTCATTAGCATTTATAACCTACAACTGTTTTTTATTTTATTTTTTTGGTGTCACAATTAAATTTTTTATACAATTACAATCACATTTGTCATATCCATAAGCACTAGGCTTAAGGTAGTTAACCAGCTTGTACATTAAGGGCAATAATCAGTTAACTATATCCTACACTTATTATTATATTATTTTTATCAATATCATTTTTCTTTCTGTACAGATGGAGAGAACAAACCCAAAGGTGATAGGGTTAGTGGAGAACAAGAGAATGATGGAATTAGCCTTGAGGCACCAGATAATCAGAGAAGATCAGGAAGGAAACGCTCAAAACAATCATCAGGACATAACCTAAAAAATTCTAATTTGAACCCTGTGAAACCTTCCTTTCCAACGAAAAAAAGGGTTCAGGTGCCACAGTATCCTCTTTCAGAGACTCCAACACGGCCTGCAAAGTTTGAAGGTGGGAGGGGTGAAACTATCAATGGACCTGGCAAAAGTTCAGTTTTATCAATGGAGAAAACTGTTTTAAATGAAAATGGAGAGCCAGTGTTTTCTCCATTCTTCTGGTTGAGAGAGGAAGATGATATAGAAAAATTAAGTCAGCAGATTGATGGTAATAATGACATTGATCCAACACCAAAAGCTCCTTGCTTCAGTGATATCAAGGACTCTGATGATGAAATCCCTTCTAATATGACTCCAACAGTAAGTATTCTAAAGATTCAATCAGTTTGTAATAAGCTTGGGTCATTCTGAAATTGTTCATGAAGTACATTGAGTCATCATCTTAGCTGGTATATATTGTGTATACATGAAGCTGGATAGGTTAACTTAGAAAAGCATAAAATTCAGTAACTGGGTTATGGATAACTGTTATTATCTGGTCTATATAGTCAGTTCATTAATAATCTTTCAAAACTTCTAACGAATTACCTAGCAGATCTTAGTCTATAATATGTGAAGAAAGAATTGATATTGCAGAACCTGACACAGTTTGTGCTGCCCCTGTCTAAAGTTAAGCTTGGTTTTGCTGAGTCACTTGCAGGGTCTCTACATAGTATTTCATCAATGCAAAAAATTTCTATACATTTATTGCCTTAAATTCTTTAATAATGCCTTTACACTTCATGTAGGGGGAAACAAATATTGCCTTGAATGATGCAGATTACTTTGACAGTGAAATGTTTGAATGGACACAAAGACCTTGTTCTCCTGAACTCTGTTCAACTCCACTGAAAATGCAGGTATGCTGATGTGCACTAATAATGTCATGGATACATCAAACTCATTTTTCTCTTTATAGTATTTCTTTTTACTTTTTTTCTCCATTCTTGCTCAGGTTTATTACTGAACTAGTTGTGAAATGCAGGTTGCAGACTCATATGAATCTGATGGAATTCCAGGAAAGGAAGGCAAAGCATCCTCACAGGGCACAAATACTATCCGGGAGCCCAAAAGTGGACAAACAGAAAGTGTGGTTCCCAAGCAGGGGGCTGACAATACAGAAGAAAGCTTACCCACATCCTCTCTTAGGACCAAAGGCACTAACAGTGAAGAACAAATTAAAAGATCTAATAAGAGAGGTAGGAAGGCTGGTGGAAGCACCAGAAAGCAGGCCAAGAGAAGTAAGGGTGAAGTTCTTGGAATCCATGCTGGTTCACAGGAAGTGGCTGAAAGAATTATTCCAGAGAAGATTGACAATAACGGCAATCCATTGAATTTGAAAGCAAGAACTCAAAAAAGTGGTGGGAGAGTTGAGTTTGACGCTATTGCTACAGAAACAATGCTGGAAAATTTTCCTACTCTATTTGCTGAAGCAAAATCTTTTAATCAGAGTGATGAAACTGTGGTCAATGGTTCCACTTCATCAGATCAGAAAGGAAGCAGTGACAAAGTTCTTAAGTCTAAGAAAACTGGCAAAAGTCGTAGGAAGAGTGTTGATCATCTACTTGGAGATCAACGTGCAAGCTTCAAAACCCAGAACCAGGATTCTGCAAAGAATAATGTGGCACATGATAGAAATGTTTCTGACTTGGGGGTGGGAACCTGCAATGGTGAAATTAAGACCATAACTAAGCAGAAATATGCTAGGGAACTGAGATGTTCAAAAAGGCCGAAAATCTTCACCAACAATATTTCAAAGGGTAAGTCGGTTGATGCTGTTCAAGATGGTAATAACAAGGTTTCTGCAAAGAGTAAAAAGGTTCAAGGCAATTCTGATGTCAAAGATCTGAATAACACATCAGAAAAGGAGAGGTCTCTTCCCAGTTCTGGTGCACTTTTGCGTAAATGTGGCACTGTTCTTAATAAAATTCAGTGTTCCTTTTGTCATTCTGCCGAAGACTCCGAGGTATATCAAGTTTCTATTCAACATGATTCCTTCCCTCTGTTATAAGTCTGTTTTTAAATTTTACCTGTAAACAATATGCTTCTTAATTCTGCAACCAAAATTACAGGCCTCAGGAGTCATGTGTCACTACCTTAATGGAAAACCTGTTGCAGCAGATCATGATGGAGGATCCAAGGTCATTCATGCACACAGGAACTGTACAGAATGGTATAAAATTCTATTAACTGGGAAAAATACAACTGCTTCCAAATGTCATGTATAAGTCAGCGTGTGACACAACTGCATTGCTAGTTCATTCCAGAATGATGTTAGTAGGATGACTTTGGAAAACGTACAAAGCTAATCTACTGTCTTAAAAATACCTCTTCCGGACCTATTTCTGTTTAATCCAAGCTGAAATACTTGAAGCAAGGTTTACAGCAGCTGAGTATTGTAACTAATAACATCAAGATTTAAAAAAAAATGCAATTCTGTTCCTCCCATCCCATTTTAAAATCATTGGAATTTTGTGATTTACTAGCCAAAGCATGAATAATTTTATTAATTTCTGAACATTCTGACTTGAAAAATGCTTGACTGGTTTAAGTGAATTGGGTCATTTGTTAAAACTTGGTCCCGATATATACAATAGGTAAAACCTTGATATCATTGGTCTAATTTAACTATTCAAATTCATATACACAGGGCCCCCAATGTATATTTTCAAGATGATAATGCAATCAACCTTGAAGCTGAATTAGCTAGAAGTCGAAGGATGAAATGCTGTTGCTGTGACATCAAAGGGGCAGCTCTTGGGTGTTATGAGAAGAGTTGTCGCAAGAGCTTTCATTTTACTTGCGCAAAGTTGATCCTACAGTGTCGATGGGATAATGTATTTGCTCAATAGACCGAGTTTAATAAAAAGAACTCCATTGTAAGCATATACTCATTTGATTTTTTATTGTGACAGGATAATTTTGTCATGTTATGTCCTCTTCATGCCTCTTCTAAATTGCCTAATGAGATATCTGGAACTCAAGTAAAAAGGCAAAAGATATGTAATCCAAAAAGGTATGCTGCCGTTCCCAGGAACAGTTTTGAAATTTTTGTGATCTTACTTTGAGAGCTTTTCTGCAATGTTAATTTGTTACTTCCCCATTTTAAAATTTATTTACAGGCAAACTCAGACCTACCAACCACAAGTTACAATTAAGCGTGCTGGTTCCAACAGCACGTGCGTGCGTTGGAATTCTTGTGGATCTTTGCAAAAATTGGTTCTCTGCTGTTCAGCTCTCACAAATGCAGAGAAGGTAAATGAACATCTGGATGTTGTTTCTGGTCTGATTTGATTCTAAATGAAAATTTCCATTGCTTTATTAAAGTGATATCTGGAATTGCAGGAAATTGTTTCTGAATTTGAGAGGCTATCTGGAGTTACAGTATTGAAGAACTGGGATTCAAGTGTCACCCATATCATTGCTTCAACAGATGAGAATGGAGCATGCCGAAGAACCCTCAAGATTTTGATTGGAATCTTGGAGGGGAAGTGGATACTGAGCATTGACTGTTAGTACAACTTTTTTAATAATGATTAAATTGATTGAATCAAATTTTAGCATTTTTAAGATTTTCCAAGTGTAAATTTTTTAACTAATATCTTGTCTGCACTTAGCTATTTATTTATTATTATTTTTCTTGGTTCCTTTTTCTGGTTTTGCAGGGATAAAGGCTTGCATGAAAGCCATGGAACCTGTTGACGAGGAGCATTACGAAATTGGTGTTGACATCCACGGGATCAGGGATGGTCCTCAACTTGGAAGATTAAGAATCTTAAACAAGGTTATTTCCACATCTAGAATTTTGGTAACAGATTAAAAAATTATGGACTGTAGAACTAAATTTGATACTTCTTTAGAAAAGTATAGGAAAGCAACTTAATGAGGATAACTCATTAGAAGTTTAAACTATACTGTTGTCTTCATCCTCTGGTGAACCTAATGTAGGTGTACCATAACCTTGACTCATGGTACATCTGTAACCTCCATAATGCAAGTATAAAAGGTCTCTGTTATGGAAGTACACATGGCAAATAATCTTTTCCATGTTTTTCGTTATTAGTTATGCCAGGGAAGCGAACTAACCAAAAACATGGGTTGACATAGAAAGATAATAGTTGAGACAATGTTTTGTAGAGTTGAGAAACAAGAAGGAAGTTTTTCATCATTCAATTTCCTCTCTTAAATCTTTAGCTTATACTGTCTCGGTTACTGATTCTTGAGTTGTCATCCCTTAACTAGTTGATAGCAAGCAGGTTTTGATATGCAAAAGACTTCCATTAATTAGGTTATACCATCTTGCTGTGGGGTTCAACATATTCTTGAATAGCATATCAAAATATGAGTATATATTTGGTTTGTATATTCAGTTCAGAGGTAATATATATTCCTGTGTAGAAGCTTCAGTTAACAATTTTCCTTACTTGCAGCAACCAAAGCTTTTCAATGGGTATAAGTTTTATTTTATTGGAGACTTTATAGCTTCATACAAGGGTTATCTACAAGATCTTATAATTGCTGCTGGAGGTACAGTTCTGCACAGAAAGCCTATTTCAGGACATTCATCATCTGGATGCTCTACGTCTCCAACATTCATAATTTACAGCCTTGAGCTACCCGATAAGTCTGACCCCAGCAAGAGAAATTTCATTATTAACCGTAGGCGGTCTGATGCAGTGGCTCTAGCAAGTTCTATTGGAGCCACAACAGCAAGCAATTCATGGGTTTTGAACTCCATTGCTGGCTGTAAGTTACAAAACCTAGCAGAATAAAAGAGTTGCTTGATTGTAGGACTGCGCTTCATGTTTCATCAATTCTTTAATCTATAATGTCACTAAATCTTTCTTCCTTGAATGTGTATAAACATCATGTTAATATATTTCAACTTTGTGACTGAAGTTTGGCAGTATAAATCATTAAATATCTATTAGTTCAGAGCAGACTGTATACAAAATTGTTTCATGTGATATGGTGGTAAAGAAGATTCATTGAAACATATTGTGCTTTCATGTTTTGATTATATAATCTGAGTGGAAGTTTGAAAAATCATAGATTAGCTATTAATTATTGTGATTACCTATTAATTAGTGTCGCATTTCACTATCACAGAATACCATTTAGAGCACCTATTGATTTTCCAATACTATTATTGATTGTAGTAAATTGATTAGTTGGACTGTCATAGCTTAGCATTGTTTCAGGTGTTTTGAGTAATATGTATTGGTAACGAAGGCTTCTTCGTTTTGACCTACTTTGAAATACATCTCTGTTGATACACTTTGATCCTGCTTTAATTTTTTCCGTTCTAATTGGACAAGTTTTGTTTCTCTATTTTCATTTGAATCATGACTTGAACTTTATGCACAGGTTATAGAATAATGTCATGTATTGTTTGCTTGATTAATCTGAGCAGGACAGCAAGTACAAAACAATCATACTTAAAAGTAAATATATACAAAATCTCATTATCATACGATCTTCAGTATAAGTCATAATCTCGAACAATGCAACATGAAACATGAAACTAAAAAAGTTGGTTGCGCAAAGCTTTAATGCTAAAAGAGTTGAGACTCCAGAACTTTTATTGAGAGACTACAAAAGGCAACATCAACTGATGAAGTGCAACATTTTTGTTCTCTCTTCAAAGAAGACAAAAATGGGGATCATACAACTCTTCAGGAACAGTACATGGGCTACAAAATTGAACAGTCAATAGCATATGAACAATGTGTAACATCACTAGTCACTCCTATTACGATACCCTATAAGTGATTCCTTTTTATTTTATTTTGATACCATAGAAATTTCTGTTTTTCCATCTATATGGAAAATGTTAGCAGAAAATTCTGTACCAGACACTTACGGTTTTAACTTACCCTTTCTTCTCATGCCAGAATAGAAGGCTGACTAGCACTGATCTCGCCTTTCGGCTTAACACACTCTCCTTTCTTCTTCCCATGTTCGGAGACCTTCAATTCAAGGCACTCGAACACATTCTCCAACTCTGAAATCTCCTTTTCAATATCAAGTCGTTGTCCATTCCTCGTGGCAATGTGTTGTTTGAATCCACGTATCCATTCAACTCTAGCTCCGACTTCCACCTCCATTTCCTCCATTGTTGTGCGAATTGCTTCATTTTCCTCTTTTGCTTCTTTTAACTTCCTCTTTAGGGATTTATACCCGTCAAGTGACCTTAGGAGTTGCTCTGAAAGTGCCTTGTTGCGCTCTAGGAGGGCTGCATTCGCCTTTGTCTCTCCTCCATGACCAATTTTCTTCTCTTTGTGCTCAGCAGCATACTCTTTTACTTTCTCCGACAACGTTTCATTTTGGACTTTAAGGTCGTTAGTGAGTTCCTCCATTCCACTCAATTCTTGAACCTTTTTTGCTAGCTCTGCTGCCATAATCTCTTTCTCCTTTCCCAAGCTAGTACACATGATTTCGAGGCTTTTTCGTGCTGCCAAGCTTGCATTGAGCTCTTTTCTTAACTTAGACTTCTCATCGATTATTGGTTCACTAGGCCTTTTGTCACTTTGGACATTACAAGGCTTGTGATCGGCATTGCATCCTCTCAGCTCAGCTTCGTTTTTCAAGCCAAAAGATTGGCACTTTTGAATTCTTGTCCTAACATTTTCGAGAATGGTCATCATTCCTGCCACCCTTAGCATTCTCCGGCCATCATTTTTCTCTTTAGTGCACGCCGCATTATGGTCTTGAATTAATTTTAACAGTAACTTAACAGTTGCAGCCACACCTATGGAATAGAAAAAAAGAAAAAGAAAGAAAGAATTTAACAAAAGATAATATAAATGAAGAAATACATTTAGCTTGCATATATAATTTCTTGACTTTTTCTATACCACATATCATTTCTGGCAAAAAAAAAAAAAAAAATGAAGAAGCCATATTTAATTGAGAATTAATCATTTTATAAGTGTCCAAAATGAAGCAAGAACTGGTTATATATATATTTGGTTTTCTGCAACATAAGCTATCATATAATACATTAATTAAATAATAGTAGCAACATAATTTTATATGAAAACAATGAAAGATTTATGCAATTATATTCTTTGATCTAATTATAAAATTTAATTCGAAAAAGAGTGATGCAATGAATAATTCACCTTCCAAAGTCGATTGATCATGCCGTTCACTTGTTCTTGAAGATGAATTTACTTGAACCCCACTCATATTTTCCCGAAAAACAATTTACAAGAGAAAAAAAATATTTTGTAATGATGATAAGATACAATGAGTGTCATGAAATGTAGCAACAATAATTGATGGCGAAGAGAAACAAAAAGGAATTATGATGAGTTAAAGAGATCCAAAAAAGAGAGAATTGATTCTGCAGTTTCTCTCTCTTTTTCTTCTCTCTTCCTCTGTGTGTAACTCTGTGGTTTGTCTCTCTATTTTCTATGTAAATAATCTACGTTTTGTTGGTGTTTGCTCATCTGAGAATGGTTGGTTAATAGTAGTTAATTTTGCGCAATTGTGGGTATTGGTTTGACTTTTCCATTGCCTCATGTGTCCATAACCATTCACAACCCTTTGCCTTAGTGTGGTCCCTCGCGCGCGCATATATACATATACACACACACACATATTATGGTTCGCACCATTAGTTATATACAAATATTATGGTTCGCACTGTCCGTTATGATTGCAGTGTAAAAGATTCGGACAAAATTAGTATAAACTGGCCGATACGAGTCGCATATCAGATTCGAAAAAGCAAAAAAGCGTTGTGTATGTTAGAAGATGCTATATTTGGAATATATTATTATAGGAATACTTCAATTACTCCTAGAATATTGATTGGAGTGATTTATGGTATTGATTTTAGAAATCTTCCATTAATGTATTTTTCATATTTATCACCTCTATTCGTTCACCTATAAATAGAGGTGAGAGAATATATTATAAAGTGATGTAGTCCTTTGGACTCTTTGTGCTGTAGATGTAGGCCCCTCTTTGTGCTGTAGATGTAGGCCCTAGTGGTTGAACCACGTAATATTCTTCTTGTATTCTTCGTGTTTCATTTCTCTCTTCCCTTCTGTTTTATACTTTACAACATGGTATCAGAGCCTAATCTCTCTTCCTAGGTTCGGACCTCTATTTTGGGGTATTCCCTTGGAATCTGAAATGTTGCTAAGGGTTTCTTGCTGCTATTTGTGCCTTGTTTGGGCTGCCAGTTTGTTCGGCGATAATTTTTATTAACTTGTTTCGGCTGCTGGTGTGTTCGGTAGCATTGTTGTTCGCTACCTTCGCCATATGTTCGGTTCTTTGTGGACTTATTTGGGCTTCCGGTGTGTTCGGTAGCATTGTTCTTCGCATTCACCGTGTCTCTAGCAGTTTTATTGTCTTTTTCCAAATCGTTGGAAAAGGATGTTTCATGATTTGATATGCAAGCTGAGTGTTATTTCCATACACCCTTCAGCTTGAGGGGGAGTGTTAGAAGATGCTATATTTGGAATATATTATTATAGGAATCCTTCAATTACTCCTTGACAGAATATTTGATATAAGAATATCATAGGAGAGATTTTAGCCCATGATAGAATATTGATTGGAGTGATTTATGGTATTGATTTTAGAAATCTTTCATTAATGTATTTTTCATATTTATCACCTCTATTCTTTCACCTATAAACAGAGGTGATTATTGTATACAAAGATCAAGAGAGAATATATTATAAAGTGATGTAGTCCTTTGGGCTCTTTGTGCTGTGGATGTAGACCCTAGTGGTTGAACCACGTAATATTCTTGTGTTCTTCGTGTTTCATATTTCTCTCCTTCCTTCTGTTTTATACTTTACAATAGTGTATCATGTGTACTAACTAAGAACATCTTAATTAAAAGGTCCATATTAAAAGGTCCATAAGAAAGAGGGAAGTGATTTTACGAGAATTTTATTTTATTTTATTTATTTTTTTTAACTTCACAAAATTATGAAAAAAAAAAAGAAAAAAAAGAAAAAAGAAGAAGCAGGAGAGAAGAAAAATCATTTAATAAACACCATTAAGCTAACTCCATAATTTTCATCCTTTTGTAGACTTATTCTAAATAAAAATTTCAAATAAAATGCACTTTACACAAGTTGCATGATTAGTCACCATTAAATCATAAAAACCATGAAAGTGATATGAATGTTTTTTTGATACAAGGAAGATGATGGATACAAATTTGCCCCTTTTCTATTAAATACCAAATGGGCAAATTTATAATTAAAATTTTGGTATTAAAAGAGAAAGAAATTTGTATTAAAATTTAAAATATAAATAATTTATCTTTCAAATTATTATATACCAATTTACTTTTATTTTAGAAAAAAAAAAAAATTACTTTCTCCAACAATTCTCTAAAATATTATGTCAGAAATGATCTCCTCGAATGCTTTTTCTCTCTAATAATTTCTAATCTTTAATTTAACTTTTTTTGTTTAGAATATTTTGACTCATAAAGTGACTGATGAGGCACGATATAAAAATAATATCTCAATAATGACCACCATTTCCCATTTTCATTCCCACTCAAATCAAATGATCTATCTCACTTCCCCTCACTTTCCCGGAAAATTCTGAATACTTCGTCGGAAAATCTGCCGATCCATGGCGTCCTCTTCGAGCACACAGCCACCGGCCGAAGAAACGAGGAACTGGCTCGAACTGCCGCGAGACGTGACGGCGATGATACTGCACAAGCTTGGAGCGATCGAGATACTGACTAGCGCACAGAAGGTGTGTATGACGTGGCGTATGATCTGCAAAGACCCTGCGATGTGGAGGACCATCGACATGCACAATTTGGGGGACGATGGGGACATGGATTACGATCTCGAGAAGATGGCGAGGCACGCCATCGATCGCAGTTGTGGACAGTTGGTCGACATCAATATCGAGTATTTCGGAACCGATGAGCTTGTTCAGTACATCATTGAGCGGTATCACACTGTCTTTTATATGTATATATATATGTGTGTATATATGTGCTATGATTGTGTTTAAATACATTATTGATTAGTGATTACTGATAGTTAAACACCGTCGATGAATTTATGTCTTGAATGTTATGCTAAGGTTTTTTGTTTTTCTTCTATTAGTTATAGGGTTTTTTAGATGATGAGTTCAACTTAGTTGGGTTAAATAGTTGTTATTTATTGATTAATATTTAGTAGTATCTAGCTGATCTGTACCATTGTACTCTTAAATTTTTGTGATTTTTATGGATTTCTCTTCTCCTGCCATTTGATAAATGATATAATGGAAAAGATAAAGGAAAGAACTTAAATTATTAATCGTACTTTACTCATTTTTTAGAACGAAAATGAAAATGTCAAGTCAATTGATGGTTTGATGCTAATAAACGTAATTTGTGATTTGTGCAGTGTTTTGGTATCACTGATCTTATAAATTGCATACCTTATCTATTAGGAACTCCCTTTGGAATATATATATATATGTATATGTTTTGAAAATCATGCTGTGTTAACTTCATTCTTTTTGAAATCACAAGTTCATCTTAATTGGTGCACAATGATCTTACAAAATTAATAAATATTGACCTATGTTACATGGACTCTTAAAAAATGCTTGAATACCCGTTTTGGATTCAATAAATACACCTAATATTTAATGATAAATTCTATCTAATGGTTTTTAGATGAACTAATACTAGCATAGAATATTGGGCTTTTTGGAAACAAGATTTTCATAAAATAAGTATGGTCAAAATGTGTATGTGGAGATGCATGTGTGAGAAGACGAGAAAGGACAGAATTAGAAATGTACATATGTGAACGGACTGAAACAACACTTTTTTGAGGTAATTAGAGAAAATTAACCAAGTTGATTTGGCCATGTGTATTGAACACCAAAATTGCAACAATGAGGAAGAGTGATGGTGCACATATATGGTAATGATAGAAGCAGAAGAGCAAAATTAACATGGTCTTCTATATTAAAGAAATATATCATAAAAATGATTTAACAGAAGTTGTGCTCTAAGAGAAAAATGGCAAAACAACATAACCCTAATATTTGGGGAAACTTTGTTGAGCTGAATCAATTTTTAGTTGATTTGTCTTCAGTGCGAAATTATGTTGACTATGGTTTTGTTGGTTGTTTTATTCATTTTGACCTTAGGTTTTACAGCATATTTTCCAGCTGAAGTTGTTCGGCCGTCCTTGGTTTCCTGAATTTTCTGTTGAGGGTTGTTCCGACAGTTACTTGGATGAGCTCACTGGTCCCTTTTGAATTGTGTGCCTGCATGGACACAGTAGTTTTCTTTTACAAGGACCATGAATTTTGCTACTTTCAAAGATCTGTTTTTGTATACATATCTTACTGACGCATGATAAAAAGGAAAATGTTTCCTCTTCGTGAATTATGGATAGCCAAATTTTCACGTGCCAATAATCATGAGCTGCCATTGATCCATATATATGGCCTATATTTGGATTTCAATAAACGTAGTCATATTGCTACAATAGTAGTAGCAAAAAGTTTTGTGCCCATTGGAGTTTTGAAATGAGTGTTATTCTGCTCAAGCTTTGCTTGTTTGAAGTTTGAACTTAGATCTATCTTAAAGCCAAAATAAAGATTTACTTGAGCTCAATAACTCCTGTTCAAGTTTGTTCATTTAGGGCACAAGCTTGTTTCTCTGCATAATGGAGCTTATTCATTGTCAAATATACTCATTTTTGTCAATTCAAATTAGCAGCTGCCACACGCTAGAAGATACCTTGAGTTTCCTTTACACCTTGTTCCTTCATATTATCACATGGTGCACACGGAGGCACACAGATGCAAAAAAACTTTTTTATATGTATAATTACTCATTTTTCTTGCCACTTTGTTTTACAAACTCTTTACAGGACCAGTCAACTTAGATGTCTTCGTCTTATCTGTTGCTTATGCATTTCATCTTATGGCTTGTGTGAAGCTGCTAAAGGACTACCATTGTTAGAAGAGCTTCACATGTATCTCTGCCATGATGTTCCAAAAGAAGCTCTTGAAGCTTTTGGTCGCTGTTGTCCTCTGCTAAAGTCATTTTCATTAAACAACATAGGGTGGAGAAGCAAGGTAATTGAAATAGAGTTTGACGACGAAGCGCTAGTAGTTGCAGGAAACATGCCTGAATTACGCAACCTTAAACTCTTTGGAAATAGGATGACAAATGTTGGACTGCAGGCGATTCTTGATGGTTGTCCTCACCTTGAATCCCTTGACCTGCGGCAGTGTTTCAATGTTGATCTTGAAGGGGATTTGGCAAAAGGACTTTATAAGAAGATCAAATATCTACAACTTCCTAACGATTCCACTGAAGCCTATGAATTTGGTGCTCAATTTTACGATGCGGACTCATTTGGTGATGAGAGCCCTTCTGAATTATACGACTCCTCTGATTATGATTGCTCTTGTGAAATCGATGGTGACAGTGACTTTGATTATGATGACTTCACAAAAATCCCTGGCGGCAGCAACTTTTCTGACTTTGAGGAGCCCTTTTTATCTTAGTTGTTGTCTTTGAAAACTATCAATTATGAGGAAACCCATGGTATGTGTGTGGTGTGTGTTTGCCCCCCTCATCCTCCTTTGCAATTTTAAAGCTTATTAGTAGCAGCTACTTGCTTGGTAGTTCAAACTTTTAGTATATCCAGTCAAGACACTACTTTCATGATGGTGGTAGAAGTTGATTTTGTTGGCATTTTGCTCATCTGGATAAGATTGCTGAAATGGTGTTGCAGTCTGATGCAGTGCTTGAATAAGTTGCTGTTGATCAGAGTTAATTTCATCATCTTTCTTTATGAACATGAGCTTACTTTGTGTACCCATGGGGACTTCAGCTTTGTAGAAGATATTTGTTTATTACTATCTCTTTGTTATGTCTAGGATAATGATTTTTCGCATAATTTGAATTCGGTAATAATGCCCCTAAATGACTACTCATATGTTTATGGTTTTTGATTTCTTATCACTGTAGACAATTTTTTTTTTTTTGGGATGCTATTTGACATGTTTTGTTTTTGCATATTTTGGGTACACTAATGATCATCATTAGATGACCAGTCATTTTTTCCCAAAAAATACACATAATTTTTTCAATGGTATGATTAGCAAGAGGTAGCCTAAGAGCGTCTTTAAGTCCATAAGGAAGAGAGCAGTGGTTTTAAGAGATGTTGTTTGTTTGTTTTGTTTGTTGGTTTTTTTTTTGAACTTTACAAAATTATGAAGGAAAAAAAAACAGAGAGAAAAAAAAATCATTTTAATAAACACCATTAAGCTAAATCCATTATTTTTATCCTTTTGTAGACTTATTTAATAAAAATTTCAATTAAGATGCACTTTACACAAGTTGAATGATTAGTCACCATTTTTTTATTAAATCATAAAAACTATCAAAGTGGTATGAATGTTTTCTGATACAAGGAAGATGATGGATACAAATTTGATCCTTTTCTATTAAAATTTTAGTTGAACTCCAAGTAAGGGTAACACAGGCAATTTTTTAAAATTCCAGCAATAGAAGATCTCACTTATAAATAGAAGTTAATATCCACACCAAAAGAGAAAAAAAAAATTGTATTATATTTTAAAATATAAATAATTTATCTTCAAATTATTGGTACGAGCCCCTTCTACCCCCAGACGCGTAAAGACCTTGACTTACCACATAAATTCTGAAAACTTCGTCGGAAAATCTGCCGATCAATGGCGTCCTCTTCGAGCACACAGCCACCGGCCGAAGAAACGACGAACTGGCTCGAACTGCCGCGAGACGTGACGGCGATGATACTGCACAAGCTTGGAGCGATAGAGATACTGACTAGCGCACAGAAGGTATGTATGACGTGGCGTAAGATCTGCAAAGACCCTGCGATGTGGAGGACCATCGACATGCACTATTTGGGGGATGGGGACATGGATTACGATCTCGAGAAGATGACGAGGCACGCCATCGATCGCAGTTGTGGACAGTTGGTCGACATCAATATCGAGTATTTCGGAACCGATGAGCTTCTTCAGTACATCATTGAGCGGTATCACACTGTCTTTTAGATCCATATATATATATATATATGTATATGTGCTGTGATTGTGTTTAAAATGCATTATTGATTAGTGATTATTGATAGTTAAACACCGTCTATGAATTTATGTCTTAATGTTATGCTAGGGTTTTTTGTTTTTGTTTTTCTTCTATTAGTTATAGCGTTTTTTAGATGATGAGTTCAACTTAGTTGGGATAAATAGTTGTTATTTATTGATTAATATTTAGTAGTATCTAGCTGATCTGTAACATTGTACTCTAAATTTTTGTGATTTTTATGGATTTCTCTTCTCCATCCATTTGATAAATGATATAATGGAAAAGATAAAGGAAAGAACTTAAATTATTAATAGTACTTTACTCATTTTTTAGAACTAAAATGAAAATGTCAATTCAATTGATGGTTTGATGCTAATAAACGTAATTTCTGATTTGTGCAGTGTTTCGGTATCATTGATCTTATAAATTGCATACCTTTATCTATTACGAACTCCCTTTGGAATATATATGTTTTGAAAATCATGCTGTGTTAACTTCATTCTTTTTGAAATCACAAGTTCATCTTAATTGGAGCACAACGATCTTACAAAATTAATAAATATTGACCTATGTTACATGGACTCTTAAAAAATGCTTGAATACCCATTTTGGATTCAATAAATACAACTAATATTTAATGATAAATTCTATCTAATGGTTTTTAGATGCACTAATACTTACAGCATAGAATATTGGGCTTTTTGGAAACAAGATTTTCATAAAATAAGTATGGTCAAAATGTGGATGTGGAGATGCATGTGTGAGAAGACGTGAAAGGACAGAATTAGAAATATACATATGTGAACTGACTGAAACAACACTTATTTGAGGTAATTAGAGAAAATTAACCAAGTTGATTTGGCCATGTGTATTGAACACCAAAATTGCAACAATGAGGAAGAGTGATGGTGCACATATATGGTATTGATAGAAGCAGAAGAGCAAAATTAACATGGTCTTCTATATTAAAGAAATATATCATAAAGTATGATTTAACAGAAGTTGTGCTCTGAGAGAAAAATGGCAAAACAACATAACCCTAATAGTTGGGGAAACTTTGTTGAGCTGAATCAATTTTTAGTTGATTTGTCTTCAGTGCGAAAGTATGTTGACTATGGTTTTGTTGGTTGTTTTATTCATTTTGACCCTTAGGTTTTACAGCATATTTTCCAGGCTGAAGTTGTTCGGCCGTCCTTGGTTTCCTGAATTTTCTGGTGAGGGTTGTTCTGACAGTTACTTGGATGAGTTCACTGGTCCCTTTTGAATTGTGTGCCTGCATGGACACAGTAGTTGTCTTTTACAAGGACCATGAATTTTGATACTTTCAAAGATCTGTTTTTGTATACATATCTTACTGACGCATGATAAAAAGGAAAATGTTGCCTCTTCGTGAATTATGGATAGCCAAATTTTCACGAGCCAATAATCATGAGCTGCCATTGATCCATATATGTGGCCTGTACTTGGATTCCAATAAACGTAGTCATATTGCTACAATAGCAGTAGCAAAAAGTTTTGTGCCCATTGGAGTTTTGAAATGAGTGTTATTCTGCTCAAGCTTTGCTTGTTTGAAGTTTGAACTTAGATCTATATTAAAGTTTTTTTCATTTAGGGCACAAGCTTGTTTCTCTGCATAATGGAGCTTATTCATTGTCAAATATACTCATTTTTGTCAATTCAAATTAGCAGCTGCCACACGCTAGAAGATACCTTGAGTTTCCCTTACACCTTGTTCCTTCATATCATCACATGGTGCACACGGAGGCTCACGTGCAAAATACTCTATGTTTATATCTAATTACTCATCTTTCCTGCCACTTTGTTTTACAACCTCTTTACAGGACCAGTCAACTTAGACGTCTTCGTCTTATCTATTGCTATAACATTTCATGCGACGGTTTGAGTGAAGCGGCTAAAGGACTACCATTGTTAGAGGAGCTTCACATTTATTTCTGCGCTAATATTTCAGAAGAAGCATTTGAAGCTGTTGGTCGCTGTTGTCCTCTGCTGAAGTCATTTTCATTTAACGACAAAGGGGTGAAAAGCAAAGACATAGAAATAGAGTTTGACGACAAAGCACTAGTTATTGCAGGAAACATGCCTGAATTATGCCGCCTTCAACTCTTTGGAAATAGGATGACAAATGTTGGCCTGCAGGCGATTCTTGATGGTTGTCCTCACCTTGAATCCCTTGACCTGCGGCAGTGTTTCAATGTTAATCTGGAAGGGGATTTGGCAAAAAGACTTCATAAGATCAAAGATCTGCGACTTCCTCACGATTCCACCGAAGACTATGGATTTGATGATCAAATTTACGATGAGGACGACCCATTTGGATCTTCTGACGTTAGCTCCTTTTCTTTTGACGATTATGGTGACAGCTACCAAGATAATGACTTAGATTATGACAGTGACTTTGATTATGATGACTACTACACAAAAGTCCCTCGACAGTGGGCCCCTGGACAGTGGAGGCTGTGGTAGTTCAAAGTTTTAGTATATCCAGTCAAGACACTACTTTCATGATGGTGGTAGAAGATGATTTTGATGGCATTTTGCTCATCTGGATAAGATTGCTGAAATGGTGTTGCAGTCTGATGTAGTGCTTGATCAGAGTTAATTTCATCATCTTTCTTTATGAACATGAGCGTACTTTGTACCTAAGGGGGGGACTTGAGCTTTGTAGAAGATATTTGTTTTTTACTGTATGTCTTTGTTATTCAAATTCACATTATGTGAGGTACACCACCACATTCACATAATTTGAATTCGGTAATTATGCTCCTAAATCACTACTGTAGACCAATTTTATTTTATTATTTTTTATTTTTTGGGATGCTTTTTGACATTTTATAGGAAAACCCAGCAAAAGCAAAGTAATTTTGTTTTTGCATATTTTGGGTACACTAATGATCATCATTAGATGACCAGTCATTTTTTCCCAAAAAAAAAAAAACATTTTTGTATGGGTCTCGAACCCACTATATGAGTATGATGCGTGTGACAATGTCCTGTACCACTTGAACTACAGAGTTTTTAAAAATACTCTTTTTTATTTTTATTTTTTTTATTTTTTTGTAATATTTAAATTTATAATGATAATTTTGGTAAGTACAAACATTTTTTCTTCTTCCTTTCATGTTATCCAAATTTATAAAATACTAGTAATATTTTTTTGTAACTTTTTTGAAATTTTTTTTTATTAACTAAATGAATGTTGGAAATTTGATTTTTCATTTTGTGATGGATTCCTAAAATGTCAAAAAACTACCTGTTACTTAAATGATTTTCACCTATGTTTTTTTTTGTCTACTTATCTCTAATACTTAATTTAATGTTCAAAAAATTACATTTTAATTTTTCTTTAGATAAAATTCTGTATATATAAAATTATAAAAAAATTAAAATAATGACATAACATATTTTTTATTATATAATTTGATTTTGAATTAAAATTTTGTTCTTGATAATTTGGATATTGAAAAAGTATTGAGGAGAATATTCAAATCCCTATAAATGTCTCCAAAGCACCGTTTTTAACCGGAGAGTTCAAACCACAAACCCCGCCCACGTTCAGCACACACATCCAGCCATTTAAGCCCTAATATCCACCGTTTCTCTTCTTCATTCCCACTCAAATGATCTCTCTCACTTCCCCACACTCTCCCGGAATATCCCGAAAACTTTCTCGGAAAATCTCGCGATCGATGGCGTCCTCCTCGACCTCACAGAAACGGGCCAAAAAAAGGAGGAACTGGCGGGCCAAAGAAAGGAGGAACTGGCTGGAACTGCCGCCAGACGTGACGGCGATGATATGCACAAGCTTGGGGCGATAGAGATCCTTGAGAGCGCGCAGAAGATGTGTATGGCGTGGCGTAAGATCTGCAAAGACGCTGCGATGTGGAGGACCATCGACATGCACAATTTGGGGGACCTCTTCGCCATGCCGTACGATCTCGAGAAGATGGCGATGCACGCCATCGATCGCAGTTGTGGGCAGTTGGTCGACATCAATCTCGAGTATTTCGGCACCGATGAGACCCTTCTGTACATCACCGAACGGTATAACTCTGTTTTTTAGATTCGTACATATATATATATATATATATATATATATATGTATATAAATACATTGCTGATTAGTGATTGCTGATAGTTAAATATTGTCCCTAATTTATGTATTGAATGTTATGCTAAAGTTTTTTTTTTTTTTTTAGGATTTTCTAGATGATGAGTTCAACTGGTTAAATAGCTGTTATTGACTGAGTAATGTTTAGTAATATCTAGTTTTGTTCTCTAAATGTATGTTATATCTTTTATGAATTTTCTCTTTCACTGGCCATTTGATTAACGATAAAATTGGAATGATAGAAAGAACTTAAAGTATTAATCGTACTTCACTAATTTTTTAGACCTAAAATGAAAATGTCAATTCAATTGATGGTTTGATGTCAATAAACGTAATTTGTGATTTGTTAAGTGTTATGGTATCATTGATCCTATAAATTGCATAGTTTATCTGTTAGGAACACCCCCCTTTGTAATACATATCGCGAATATAATGTATATATTTCTCGAAAATCATGCCTCAACTTCATTTTTTTTAAAGTCGCACGTTTATCTTAGTTGGAGGTTGAGCTATACATGGACTCTTAAAAATACGGGAAATACCTGTTTTGGATTCAATTTATACAACCAAGATTTAATGATAAATTCTATTTAATGGTTATTAGACAAACTAATACCTATAGCACAGAATATTGGCTTTTTTGGAAACACAATTTTCATAAAATAAGTTTGGTCAAAATGTGGATGTGGAGATGCATGTGTGAGGAGAAGATGAGAACTGATAGAATTAGAAATGATTACGTATGAATTTGTGTATTATATAGAAATGTTTGCTACATGTGAATTTTGGTGTTTAAGACAAAGTACTTTTCTTTTACAAGGGCCATGAATTATATAGAAATGTTTGGTACTTTCAAAAGTCTGTTTTTGTATGCATATCTTACTGATGCCTGATAAAAAGGAAAATGTTCCAACCAAATTTTGTTAATAGGAACTGGAAGTGGAATCAAAGGTATGATCCACGCATATTGATTTGTATTTTCCATAAAAAATACCCCTTTTTATTTATATTTCTTATTTTCTTTTTGTTTTATCTTTTCCTATTTCTAAATAAAATCAAAAATATATTCAATTTAGAAATTGCGAATTACCGTTGTTCTGAATTTCGAATAGTATTCAAGATCCTCTGTTTTCGATTATCTTATAAATCACTTAATGAAAGTAGATTATCTTTCTATTCATTTAAAAACTTCCATAATCCCTTCCCGAACCAAACATAAATCTTTCGATTCATTTGGTACCCAAGGTAGCCAGCTGCTCATTCTTGAATGAGAAAATTGATTTCCCTAGCAAGTCTACGGTAAAATGCAATGAATTGTTTCAAAATCAACCTCAATTGCTTAGCCCCGTTCATCTTCGGCGCAAGAGGGCTCAATCAGTGAGCTATTACGAACTCTTTCAAGGGTGGCTGGTTCTAGGTAAACCTCCTGGCTGTCTTTGCATCCGGCTTTATGCAGGCGAGTTGCAGCCTGCAATCCGAACTGAGGATGGGTTTTTGGAGTTAGCTCACCCTCGCGGGATCGCGACCCTGTGCCAATAATCATGAGCTGCCATGTGATCCATATATGTGTCCCTGTATTTGGATTCCAACGTACTCATATTGCTGCAATAGCAGTAGCAAAAAGTTTGATGCCCATTGGAGTTTAGAATGAGTGTTTTTTTTGCTCAAGCTTGGCTTGTTTAAAGTTGAACTTAGATCAATCTTAAAGACAAAATCAAGATTTACTTGCTCAATAACTCCTGTTCAAGTTTTGTTCATTTAGGGCACAACCTTGTTTCTCTGCATAATGGAGCTCATTCATTGTCAAATATACTCATTTTTGTCAATTCAAATCAGCAGCTGCAACACAATAGAGGATATCTCGAGTTTCCTTCACACCTTGTTCTTTCATATTATCACATGGTGCACAAGGAGGCACACAGATGCAAAAAAGTCTTCGTTTATTTGGAATTATTCATCTTTCTTGCCACTTAGTTTTACAAACTCTTTACAGGACCAGTCAACTTAGACATCTTCGTCTTTTCAGTTGCTATGGCATTTCATGTGATGGTTTGAGCGAAGCAGCTAAAAGGACTACCATTGCTAGAAGAGCTTCACATGTATTTCTGCACTGATGTTTCAGAAGAAGCATTTGAAGCTGTTGGTCGCTGTTGTCCTCTGCTGAAGTCATTTTCATTGAACAACAAAGGGGTGAAAAGCAAGAACATAGAAATAGAGTTTGACGACGAAGCACTAGTTATTGCAGGAAACATGCCTGAATTACGCCACCTTCAACTCTTTTGGAAATAGGATGACAAATGTTGGCCTGCAGGCGATTCTTAATGGTTGTCCTCACCTTGAATCCCTTGACCTGCGGCAGTGTTTCAATGTTAATCTGAAAGGGGATTTGGCCAAAGGACTTTATAAGAAGATCAAAGATCTGCGACTTCCTCACGATTCCACTGAGACTCTGGATTTGATGCTCAAATTTACGATGAGGATAATCCATTTGGATTTTCTAACACTAACTCCTTTTCTGATTATGATGACTATGAACCATGGTGACATCTATGATTACATTGACTTTACAAAATTCCCTGATGACAGTGATTTTCGTGACTTTTTGTAGAGCTGTTTTCCTCTTTAGCAGTAGCCTTCAAAAACTCTCAAGTATGAGGAAACCCATGGTATGTGTGTGGTGTGCAATACAGGCATGTTTTCCCCTTCATCGTTCTTTGCAATTTTAAGCTTAGTAGCAGCTACTTGCTAGGGAAGTTTACTTTTCGGAAAAAAAAAAAGAAAAAAAGAAAAAGAAAAAGGTTCAAGTATATCTAGTCAAGATACTACCTTCATTATGATGCATCTTTAATTGGTGGAAGATGATTTTGTTGGCATTTAGTAGGTGGGGACTGTGTGTGATCTGGAAGGATATGAATGGCGATTATTTGCTTCACTGGAGAAAGATAGCTGAAATGGTGTCGCAATCTGATGCAGTGCTTGAATAAGTTGCTGTTGATCAGAGTTAATTTCATCATGTTTCTTTATGAACATGTAGAGCTGACTTTGTTCCTAGCCTTGAGCTTTTTAATAGAGATTTGTTTATTAGTTAAATTCAAATTTTTTTTTTTTTTTTTGCTCTCTCTACGTGGATGACTCTGTTTTTTTGTCGCATAATCTGTATATATTTCTAATTTCCTTGTAGTAATATGCTCTTTGACATGCTATAGAAAAACCCAGCAAAAGCAAAGTTATTGTTTTGTTTTTGCTTTTGGGTAGCAACTCCAATACTCTTTCATTTTGGGCTCTCAAACTCATAATTTGAGAGATGGGGGTGAAAAGGGGCTCTCCAATGGCCTTTCATTTGGCCTCTCAAAATTTGAAAATCTCAAATTTTCTTTCAAATGTAGGAGCTGCCAATTTTTTTGGCAAGTCACTTTTAATGCCCTATGACGCCGTTTCTTCCTTTCTCCTTCAATCCCCTGTTGCTTTTTCTGTCCCTCAATATTGCGATCTCTGTCGTCTCTTTCTCTCCCTCTCATCTGCCACGATATCTGCTGTCATTCCGTATTCATTGTACCAATATTCAGTATTCACATAACAAATATATACATATATATAGAGAGAGAGAGTTTAAGCATCCAATTTACAAGAGAGAGACAAGAGGAAAGCCCACGATCTGCCTACGCGATATCTGCTGTCAACCACAAGTTTAAGCTATTTCTGAACTTTGGCGGCGGATTCAACGATCTGGCCTTGGGGCTGCAGAGAGACCTAGCGGCGGTGTCGTAGGCGCGTACGGCAGCTTCGGCGGAGTCGAAGGTGCCGAGCCAGACTCGGGTCTTCTTCCAGGGTCTATGATCTCGGCGGCGAATCAACCCCACGGTCACTTTCGCACGTCGCCGTGGCTCGATCATGGCTCCCTCTGCCGTGGTTCTGGGTGGTCCGATCATGGTTCTGAGTGGTCCGATAATGGCTCCCTCTGCCGTGGTCTCTGGGGTCCGATCATGGCTCCCTCCGCCGTCGCTATGGTTTTGGGTCGTGGCATGACCTCCGGTGAATCTGTTTCTCTCTCATCTCTCTCTTATCAATCTGTTTCTCTCTCGTGCCAAATCTATATTTGCAATAGAAAAAGAATGGGGGTTAAAAATGGAAGTTGGGAATGGTTGTTGAAAAAAAAATAGTGATTGTGTCAAAAAATAACAAGGCACCATTGGAGTAGAATTACTAAAATATATCATTTTAACACTGTAACATTTCTCAAAATATAAATTTGACATCCACAAATAGCTTTATGCATCGAAAATGGCCAGCATTAAAGGGCTAGTCATTTTTCCCAAAACAAAACATTTTGTTATGTATCTCGATCTCGATCCCACCATATGATGTATGGAACAATGTCCTGTAACTGTTTTTTTAGTATTTGAAATCACACGGATAGCTTTGGTAGATGGAATTATTATATTTTTTTTTCTTTTCATGATATCCAAATTATTAAAATAACATTTTTTTACATAATTCTTAAAAAAAAATTGTTAACAAAATGCACTGTGAAAATTTGATTTGATTTGATTTTTTTTTTTTTTTTTTTTTTCACTTTCATTATAAATTTTTGTATTTCAAAATTCACTAAAGGTGCTAACCCACCGGACTATCGAGACATCTACTACCATCACCAACAAATATCTAATACTTTAAAGTCATCCTAATGATTTTTTTCTAATTATCTCTCGTCCCTAATTTAAGGTTCAAAACAATTTTTTTTTTTTTTAACATAAAGTAGTGTGTTTACGGTATAAAATTATACAGTAAAACTGACATGACATTTTTGATTTTTGAATAATTTAAATTAATTTTTTTTTTTTTTTTTAACATAAAGTAGTGTGCTTACAGTATAAAATTATACAGTAAAACTGACATGACATTTTTGGTTATTGAATAGTTTAAATTTGAATTGAAAAATTATTGGGAGAATATTCAAATCCCTAAAATGCCTTATGCGTCAATGTCCCCCAAAGCACCGCTTTTCACCGGACAGTTCAATCTGCAAACCCCGCCCACGTTCAACACATACACACATTCACCCATTTAAACCCTAACTAATGACCACCATATTTTCCCATCTTCACTTTCCCTGAAAATCCTGAAAACTTTTTCGGAAAATCTCGCTATCAATGGCGTCCTCCTCGACCTCAGAGCCACCGGCCGAAGAAACGAGGAACTGGCTGGAACTGCCGCAAGACGTGACGGCGATGATACTGCACAAGATTGGGGCGATAGAGATACTGGAGAGCGCGCAGAAGGTGTGTATGGCGTGGCGTAAGATCTGCAAAGACCCTGCGATGTGGAGGACCATCGACATGCACAATTTGGGGGACCTCTTCGACATGCCGTACGATCTCGAGAAGATGGCGATGCACGCCATCGATCGCAGTTGTGGACAGTTGGTCGACATCAATCTCGAGTATTTCGGCACTGATGAGCTTCTTCTGTACATCATTCAGCGGTATAACTGTTTTTTTAGACTCACACACACACAAATGTGTTATATATGGTTGTGTTTAAATACATTACGGGTTAGTGATGGCTGATAAACTAATACTGTCCTTGATTTATGTCTGGAATGTAATGCTAGTTTTTTATTTTTTCTTTATTTATTTTTTTTTTTTAGGGTTTTTGAGATGATGAGTGCAACTTAGTTGGTTTAAATAGCTGTTATTAACTGATTAATGTGTAATAGTATCTAGCTCATCTGTGACATTGCTCTCTAAATGTTTGTTCTTTTTTTATGAATTTTCTCTTCACCTACCATTTGATTAATGATAAAATTTGAAAGGTAACAGAGAGAACATAAAGTATTAATTGTGCTTTACTCATTTTTTAGACCTAAAATGAAAATGTCAATTCAATTGATGGTTTGTTTGTGAAGTGTTATGGTATCATTGATCCTATAAAGTGCATAGTTTATCTGTTAGGAACACCCTTTGTAATACATTTTGTGATTTTTCGTATAAAAAATATATATATGTCTTGAAAATCATGCTCTTTAACTTCATTCTTTTTAAAAGCATAAGTATATCTTAATTGATGTTGAGCTATGGTACATGGATTCTTAAAAAATGCGTGAATTACCCGTTTTGGATTCAGTTTATATAACTAAGATTTAATGATATATTCTATCTAATGGTTATTAGACGAACTAATACCTATAGCACATAATATTGGCCTATTTGGAAACACGATTTTCATAAAATAAGTATGGTCAAAATGTGGATGTGGAGATGCATGTGTGAGGAGAAGACGAGATAGGATAGAATTATAAATGATTAAGTATGTGAACTGACTGAAGCAACACTTCCTTGAGATAAAGTTAGTAAATTTTAACTAACTTGATTTGGCCATGTGTCTTGAACACCAAAATTGCAACAATGAGGAAGAGTGATGATGCATTTATATGGTCAGTGATAGAAGCAGAAGACCAAAATTAACCTGGTCTTATATATTAAGAAAGATATCATAAAACTTATAAATAAAAAAAAGAAAAAGAGAAAGATATTTTAAAGTGTGATTTAACCGAAAACAACAAAACACCAATAGTTGGGGCAAACTTTGTTGAGCTGAATCAAGTTGTAGTTGCTTTGTCTTCAGTGAAGTACGTTGACTGTGGTTTTGTTGGTTGTTTTATTCATTTTGACCCTTAGGTTTTACAGCATATTTTCCAGCTGAAGTTGTTCGGCCCTTCTTGGTTTCCCCAATTCCGGTGAGGGTTGATCTGACAGTTACTTGGATGAGACATTTGTATTACTAAGACGAAGTAGCTCATTGGTCCATTTTGAATTGTGTGCTTGCATGGACACATTAGTTTTCTTTTACCAGGGCCATGAATTTGTGTATATATAGAAATGTTTGCTACTTTCAAAAATCTGTTTTTGTATGCATATCTTACTGATGCCTGAGAAAAAGGAAAAATGTTGCCTGTTAGTGAATTATGGATAGCCAAAATTGCATGTGCCAATAATCATGAGCTGCCATGTGATCAAAATATGCGGCCTGTATTTGGATTCCAACATAGTCATATTGCTACAATAGCGGTAACAAAAAGTTTGGTGCCCATTGGAGTTTTAGAATGAGTGTTATTCTGCTCTAGCTTCGCTTGTTTAAAGTTGAACTTAGATCAATCTTAAAGCCAAAATCAAGATTTACTTAAACTAAATAACTCCTGTTCAAGTTTTGTTCATTAGGGCACAAGCTTGTTTCTCAGCATAATGGAGCTCATTCATTGTCAAATATACTCATTTTTGTCAAATCAAATCAGCAGCTGCCACACACTAGAAGATATCTTGAGTTTCCTTCACATCTCGTTCCTTCATATTATCACATGGTGCACACGGAGGCTCACATGCAAAAAACTCTATGTTTATATCTAATTACTCATCTTTCCTGCCACTTTGTTTTACAAACTCTTTACAGGACCAGTCAACTTAGACGTCTTCGTCTTATCTGTTGCTATGACATTTCATGCGACGGTTTGAGTGAAGCGGCTAAAGGACTACCATTGTTAGAGGAGCTTCACATGTATTTCTGCACTAATGTTTCAGAAAAAGCTTTTGAAGCTGTTGGTCGCTGTTGTCCTCTGCTGAAGTCATTTTCATTCAACATCAATGGGCGGAGAAGCAAAAACATAGAAATAGAGTTTGACGACGAAGCACTAGTTATTGCAGGAAACATGCCTGAATTACGCCACCTTCAACTCTTTGGAAATATGATGACAAATGTTGGCCTGCAGGCGATTCTTGATGGTTGTCCTCACCTTGAATCCCTTGACCTGCGGCAGTGTTTCAATGTTAATCTGAAAGGGGATTTGGCAAAAAGACTTTATAAGAAGATCAAAGATCTGCGACTTCCTAACGATTCCACCGAAGACTATGGATTTGATGCTCAAATTTACGATGAGGACGACCCATTTGGATTATCTGACATTAACTCCTTTTCTGATTATGATGACTATGGCTACAGCTACGAAGACAGTGACTTTGATTACGATGACTTTACAAAATTCCCTGATGACACTGAAATTTGTGACTTTTTTGAGGAGCTGTTTATCACTTAGGGCAGTTGCCTTCGAAAACTATCAATTATGAGGAAACCCATGGTATGTGTATGGTGTGCAATACAGGCATGTGTTTCCCCCTCATCCTTTGCAATTTAAAGCTCAGTAGCAGCTACTAGCTAGGTAGTTGGAAGTTTTAGTGTATCCAGTCAAGACACCACTTCATCTTGGTGGAAGATGATTTTGTTGGCGTTTTGCAGTTTGGGACTGTGTGTGATCTGGAAGGATATGAATGGCGATTATTTGCCTGCTGAAATGGTGTCTCAATCTGATAAGTTACTGTTAAATTCATCACGTTTCTTTATGAATATGTAGAGCTGACTTTGTTCCCAAGTGGCCTTAAGCTTTCTAAGAGAGTTTTGTTCATTACTATTATGTCTTTATTATGTTTTTTGCTTTTGATTTCTTACTACTCTGGGTATGTGCAATTTTGGATGAGATTAGGTTGTCTTAAATACCAATAACGCACGGAAAAAATAGAAATAATGTGGTAAATAGATATTACTCAAAAATTTAGTTCACAGGAATTGATTTTTGAGACCTAACAAATATATTCGACCTTTGATACTACTCTATCAAATAATCTGGGAAAATAAAAAGTATTTTTTATTCTTGCTATTGGTTGATTGACTTGATTCTATGATAAAAATAAAAATAAAAAAGCAGATTATTTGATAGAGTAGCATTAAGATTTGCTTGGTTTGTTATTTTGATAATTTTACAAAAATTCCAATTAATTCAGTTTATGAAAAATATTTTTTTAAAATTTAGTTATAAATTCTGAATTGAATTGTTTCTTATCCCTTTTGTATGATCTGGGCTGCTGTCTTTCGGACTCAAGTCATGGGCCGCCCACCTATTGACTTCATGTGCTTACTGTTAATTGTTAGGGTCATGGGTGTGCCCATGGGACAACTATGCATGGATGAGGTGGGAGCAGGAGGTGTATTTTTTATGGTTGGACGGGGTCAGCAATCTTTGTTAACTCTATATATTTAAGATTTATTCACCACTTGACCTTTTATAGGAGATCATCTATGCATGAATCGCAATCGCACAATGACTAATATTATGTTTGCGAGTATTGAATAGGTGTTTTGAATTTAAGATTCGAAAAGTTTAGTTTAAAATTTGTATTATAATTTATCCAATTTTAAATTCAAGGCGCTAATTTGATGTCACCTAACATAACATAAAGTAAACTTGAATTACAATGGCACAACCGTGATTAGTTAAAAATAAAACCTTGTATCATTTGCAACTCGATAATTTATAGTAACTTATCATAGAGAATGGTCGAGTTCCTACATAACTTATCACTAAAATATCCTTTGAAGAGGATGATAAGGGAAAGAGGAGCCAAAAGAGTTTTACCACGATAGGAAATAAAAACTATTAGCCTCACAAGACGTTTATGAATAAGTGATTGTCTGGTGAAGAGTAAGAAATATTTGTTATTTTGCTAAATAGAATATATTGAACTCATAAATGGTACGATACATTTTATGAATGCCAATTAATTATTGTAAATAGAAAAAAGTACATTAACTTGTATCTTTTTTTAATAAACTCCTCTTATTTAATTTTTTACCAAAGAACTCCCTTAACTTGTTGTCCTTTCTAATAAATATTCTTTGTCTAATTTTTTACAAAAGAACGCCCCTCAACTATTTAAAGGGTGTAAAAAAGTTAATATTTGGACCAAAATGCCATTTTATTTAAATCTTAATTTTCCCAAACTTCAAAATTTCATATCTCACAAACCGTACATCCAAATATTGCAAATAATATATACACAGAAAGCTTATAAAACAAATATTTTAGAAATATAAGATTTGTTTAACAAAACTTCATAACCATAGAGCAATAGACAATCTAAAAATCTGCTACAACAATTTTATTTTATTTTTTATAAAATACTCGGGTTATTTGCAAGAAAAATTTCAGAATTATTCACTTTCATATGGAGCATAACATATAAAAAAAATTAGCTCCAATAGGGACCGAATATTCATTTTTATATTTTTTTTAAATGACGAGTCTATAAAAGAATGAAAATACTTTGACGCAAAATATGATATCTCATGAAATTGATCTCTGTTGAGGTTAAATTTTTTATATATTCGGCTCCATATATAAATGAATGATTCTGAAAATTTTCTTACAAATATCTCAAGTATTTTATTTTTTAAAAATAAAATAAAATTGTTGAAGTAGATTTTTAGATTACCTATTTTTCTCTGGTTATGAAGGTTTTTTGTACAAATTTTATATTTCTGAAATCCTTATTTCATAACCTTTCCGTACATATGTTATTTATAATTTTTAAATGTACAATTTGTGAGATATAAAATTTTGAAGTTGAGAATTAATATTTAAATAAAAGGACATTTTGATCCAATTATTAATTCTTTTATCCTCTCCAGATAGTTGAGGGGGTTCTTTGGTAAAAAATTAGACGAGAAATTTATTGGAAAAAGGATACAAGTCGAGGGGGGTTCTTTGGTAAAAAAAAATAGACAAGGAGTGTTTACTGAAAAATGTTACAAGCCGAAAAGAGTTTTCTGTACTTTGCCCTTGTAAATAAATTGCTCCCAGTTGTTCTATCATTTAATAATAAGATTTACTAGGTGAATTTTTTACTTTCTGTGACTTCAAAAGCTTATACTTGCAAACCCTCACAAATATTGATAAATGAAATGACGATAATGGGCTACACAGCAGGAGGTAGCCCTCCCCAAACTTACAAACCCTCACAAATATTGATCAAGCAAAAGGACTGCTAGCTTGAGTTTAAACACACACATATATATGACACAAACATGTCATCAATCAACAGAAAGGAAAGAAATATATATTTTTTTTTCGGCAAAAAAGTGGAGATGATCACTTTTATTTTATAGAAAAATGAGATAGAGAGTTCAAAGATTATTGGCATTGGAGTTTGATGTCCCTTTATTGAAGGCCTAGCTCGGAAGCTCTATCGGCTCTGACAGAATTCCGTTGGTACTGTAAAGGATCGGAGACTCTTTCGCTGCCTTCACTGGTAATGTAGTTACAAAAGACCCTCGAGGTTCCACTGGTAATGTAGTTATCGGAGACCCTCCCTTAAGAAAATTCATATACCACAGAGCTGAGTCTTTTGGATGTCTGGCTAAATTATTCTTGTAATCCACATGAATGAGACCGAAACGGGTAAGGTAACCATCAGCCCATTCAAAATTATCCATGAGAGACCAAACAAAGTACCCCATTACATTAACATTAGCGCTGTGCATACAAACAAAAAAAAAAAAAAAAAAAATCCAAGTCATATATATATATATATAATTGATGTACAAAAATATAATAACTAAACAATATATGTATTACAATTTTCATTATTAATTTAGTCTAAACTTTGTGTAAATCATTAATATAACATTTTTTTTTTCCAAGAACTTACTTTCTTGCTTCTTTAACCTGAAGAAGATGATCTTGGATGTACTTTTTCCTCCTCTCATCATTGCAGACTTCTGAAAGATTTGTGCCTTTTACATCATACTTGTCGCAGATCCCTGTAAGAGAACGAGAAGTATTTGACTTAAATCATACCTATGTCTATGGTAGTAGGTATGTCTATGGTAGTAATATATATATATATATATATATATATATATGGTATATATCATTCTGCCCAAAATATATATATATTATATATACACACACAATTAACCTTGCCAAATTTAAGGCTTACCATTCTCCGTAACGTAAATAAGCTTAGTATCGTACTTTTTCTTAAGATTTAGCAAAACATGTCCAAGCCCTTCTGGGCAGACATAAAGCCATGAACTAGCCTGCAACATTATCAAATTAATTAATTGTATAAGGTAAGTACTTGATTAAATGATGATTAATATTCTATTAATAAATGAAAACACTTATATGCCGTTCGTTAATTGCAGCAATTTACTAAATTATACTCTGGAGAAGGTTGACTAAACTTTTTTTTTTATTTTTATCCTATCCTCCTCTTTGAGGATGTGGAAGTTATACTACTAGGTTAGACGTTCTTTTGTAGAGGTTGACTAAACTTGAAGGCTTACCTTTTCACCAATTGCTTGACCATTCCACCGATCTACAATCAAAAATATATTCGATCATTTTAGTTTGTATGGAATTAAAATTGCATTAGAAGTTTAGAACTAATTAATTATATACCTGTAAGTAAAACATCAGAGAACGGATGCAAAACAAATGGTTTTTCATAATCAGGTGAATTTTCAGCACCATGATAATCAGATTCTTGATATTTATCTTTGTCGAGTGCATAATATGCTGTATAGTAGTTCAATCCGATGAAATCGCATGAATTTTTTAGCAACTTTTGCTCATTCTTACTGAAATGTGGAAGATCTTTCACTCTATCTCTCATGCTCTTTGGATATTCCCCTGTTGTCAATGGATTCATAAACCTGAAGAACAAAATGGAAGAATCAAACTTAGAACCTAGCTACAATCATACAAGTTTAGTACTGAGACCTAAACTCACTTCTGCGGTTCACTGTCAGCACACCCATATTACCTATTTTTGGTCCGTTTGAGTTTGTTCAAATCATGATTTGCACAAGAACATTTTGGGCTTTGGAATCGGGCTACTATCCAAACGGTTGCATTTTGTGGGTTGGTCCATTATTGACCGCTTTGGCAAGTCGAATCTTAATAAAATAAGGTCCGGCAAATTGATTGCAAATGAAATTTATATAATACTCACCATCCTAACATGAAATCGGTTTCTCTCTCCCCAGCATCTTCGTGACCTTCAGCAGTCTTAAACCAGCGTATCACATTCACCATCCCGATCTTGCCATTTTGAACTTTCTATTAACATTCAATATCATTAGTACTTAAAGTAATCACAACAGTTTAATTTTGGACTGATATCAACATAGGAATGGCAACGGGCGGAGTTGGGGTGGATTTAGCTAAACCCTACTCCACTCCGTTAGAAAATCTATCATACTAACTCCGTCCATAGTTCGGGACGGGTTTGTAATTAGTACACCATCCTCACCCCTATTCTAGCAGACAAAGTACTGACTTCGTTCCGCGTACTCCGTTTAATTGCGTAGGCGGGGCGGGTTAAGCTACTTTTATTATTTAGCAAAAAAAAAAATCCCGTTGTGCTCAAATTGGACTGATAAATAAGCTGATTCGGCATTTAAATTATTAAATAGTGAATATTAATATATTAAGTGACACTTGCAGCAAGGTAAAAAAAGTATTAAATATATTTATATATATATAGATATAATTTAAAGGTACATATATAATCGGGCGGGGGCGGGGCGGGTTTAATTATTTTAAACCCGCCTCTGCCACAAACCCGATTCGGGTGTTTAATTATTTTACTATGTTCGCCCCAAACTCATTTAGAAAGAAGGGCGGGCAGAGGAAATTGCCATCCTTATATCAACATCTATCATCAATTTTTTTTTTTTTTGGATACAGAAGATGAACACAAAATTTAATTAAGCGGATGAAAATTGACCTGATAATTCTTCTTATACAAATCTGCTGCATTTGCATGAGCAAGAAGAAGGTTATGCGTCACGTCGTACATGTTCAATTGACTCTTGGAATTCCATGGATAATATCCACCCGGTGGGTGTGCACACTTGTGATGTCCATAAAAAGAGTAGGTCCATGGTTCATTAAGCGTGATCCAATTCTTTACCCGATCACCAAATTCCCAAAAGCAAAGGTTTGCATAGTCACGAAAATCATTCCTGTTATGTTGATATAAAAATCAGCATTATTTTATTTAGTTGCAACATTAAACTCCAAATGTTCACTAAAAAAATTAATTCTATAGTCGATGGATTATGGATAGAATTAAACTGAGCCACTTACACAATGTTTTCACTAAGGAAACCTCCATACTCATCGTCTAAGGCCTGAGGAAGATCCCAGTGGAATAGAGTCACAAAAGGTGTTATACCTGTGCATATATATATATACACACCACAAACATATACTTTGAGATGACAAATTAAAACTATGCAAGCTGATGCAGAAGTAAAATAAAAATTTAGAAAGGAATTCAGGTCGATTCATTCATGGGTACCGTTTTCTAAGAGTTCATTTATGAGATTATTGTAGTAGTCGATTCCTTCCCGGTTGACTCCACCACTTAGTTTTCCAGCTGATAAAATAACCACAATAATAATTAAAATTAGAATATATTCTGTTACTGAATATATATTGTCTCAAATTTTTTATCACTTGAGATATATGAGATCTTTATAAATAAATAAGGCAGAAAAGATTGATTCATACTCGGCAATATTCTAGACCATGAAATTGATATTCTGTAGGCATTGAGACCCATATTCTTCATTATATGCACGTCTTCCTACAACATGGTTAGAGAGGAAAAAAAAAGTGAACGTTAAATCTATCTTGTGCTATATAATTCAAATTAAATGTGCCAATTAAATAATCTAGTATATAGTTCAGACTTAATAATGTATTTATGACCTTATTTTGTAGAAAATTTTCTTAACTAATGATTGATTTACCTTGTATCGATTATAGGAGTCGTTGGCCACACTTCCATTACTACCGTCTGCAATTTTTTCTGTAATTTTATGATAAATATTGTCAAGATGTCTCATGTATAAACATAATGTTTCAACAATTAAAAAATAAATAAAAAAAGAAGAAAAAAGACAACTATATATGCATGTGTATATATGTATTTTTTTCATATGCAAGTTGCAAAAGTCACTCGCCAAAAAAAAAAACTCACAGTAGTGACTAGACAGAATCAGATTCTGATCCGAATTTGATCTGAATCCGATCCGATTATTCGAATATGGATTGAACAAAAAAATTCGATAACCCAATTAGGATCTGAATCCAATAATTCGATTTAACAAATTAGATATGATTTTTTGTTGATCCAATCCGATTAAATTTATATATATATATACACACACACACACACAATAATCATATCAGATTTATATTAGATGTAATAATAAATAAATAAATAAAAGCAATCATATTATTATATGTACAATAGTGTGGTTTTCTCACCCATATACTAATAAATCTCTTAATGTATATATTAATAATGTCATAATATTTATTCATTAACAAAGAGTAAATGATCAATTTTTTTTTTCTTTTCCTTCCATATTTTATTTATCTTTTGTTTTATGTCATTTTTTATAATCATTTTTTTTTATTCTCTTTTGATATTAATTTTTTATAAAATTATATTTTATCGCATTAGATCAAATCGAATATCCATTTATTAACAAATCGGGTATGGATTCACTTACAAAACATCCGTCGAATTATTGAATCTGATCGGATCAAGTAAAATGCTTATTGGATTCAAATCGAATCAGGTCAGATCCGAATCCGACCCGTTAACAGGTCTAGTAGTGACCATACACCTATAAGATCTCATTTTCATTTGAAAAAATTGTGTACAATATTTGTCTCCTCGATGATGAGATTATTCTCCTCACCATCGATATGACATAATAATAAATTAGCCCTTGTCCACTTTGAATTTAAAATATTAAAAAAGGAAAATTAATTATTTTCTTATATATATTTTAAATTCAAATTAAACACATCATTTTATCATTATGTCATATTGCCGGTGAAGAGAAAAATTCCACATAAGCAAATATTATTAAAAATTTGTTAGATATATATCCTATGTGTATCGACAATATAATACTCCCATCCAATAAACATGTGTCATTTGCCTGTAATAGGAAATAATAAATATTCACTATGCTATTGTATGGAGAGATGATTGAAAACTACGCATGATTGCATTTTCAGGATCCATTGATTAAGGGTCTCTTAGTTTGCAATCTAATGAAAGAAAAGAAATGTCAATTAGGCTCGTTTGTTTGGACGTAAAATATTTTTCAAAAAATATTTTTTTTTTTTCTAGTGTTTAGTTATCGTAAAATATTTACGAAGAAAAAAAATATTAAAATTTAATAAAAATAACTTATTTATCAATTTTCGACAAGTTATTTTACATATTTCGCCTGATGGACTCAACCTCAATCTCGACGTAGACCTTTTCTAAACACTGACAAAAAAAAAGTTTAACTAAAAAAAATATATATATTTTTCGTCAAAATAAATGTAAAATTTTTGGTTGTTTATTTGTCATATATAGAAGTAAGAGAGAGAGAAAAAAAATATATATATTTCTTAGAATTGATTTTTCTTATTTAATGGGAGAAGGGGATCGAGCTTCTAGGTTTCTAGAGAAATAAGTCAAGAACTAGAAGCTAGCTAGCTGGGTTAATGTGGTGTTCTCGACTTCTTGGCCATATTGGAGTTGCTTCACTAGCATATATATATATATATCTATATATATATACATAATGTGGTTTAATTCTCTCTCATTTTTGGTTCATAGCTTCATTTGATTAAGATTCAGTGGTGTGATTTTCCCCTTCATCTGTTCAGGAGTACTACTAGCGCTATTCATGGAGGATTATCTAAGGGCAGTCCCGCGCTTATCATTTTCAAAATTCAAATTTGAATGAGAAATGAAGAAGATACACCCTTGAAAAATGAATTTCATACTAGTTTTTGAGTGATTTGTGTGTGATTTTTAACTGGAGTTTGAGAGAGACCAGGGAATCGATCTGTAAAAGTGTCCCAGATACTAGGGCCTCTGCCACCTTCACTTGCTGCACCTTCAACCTGAATTAACAAACGAAACAGTAAGAGGCATAGCACAGCACAATGCACATGCATGCATATATACATGGGTTAAAATATATACGTAAGACTTTAGTAAGTAACTAGGAAGCTTGTATATACTTAAGTTAGTACTTAATTCAAGTAGAATAATTATATATAAAATTAAAGGTGGTCAAATGTGCAATACCTGATATGCAGCTGATCCTGCTCCAAACATAAAATCTTCTGGAAAATCGCTACGTTTTACTTCTTTCTTCCATACAGATGCAGGAACAAAGTTAGTGGGAGTTGCAGAACACACAGTGAGGACAGGACGGGAACTGGTGATAGAATATCCCATAACCGAAGGACAAGTTGAACTCCTCCTCCCTAGAGTAGTCGGGACAAGGCGGCTGGTGGTGGTGGTGGTGGATGATCTCGTGACAGAAGAAGGGCTATTGAAATTAGCCGGGAGAGTGCAGAAGGCACGAGTGGAAAGGAGGGGGGTTGCCATGATCACTAAACAGCTTAATTGATATATAGATTTTGTTTCAAATTTGATACACACCAAAAGCTTCACCCTTATGTTGGTTTATATAGTGCATGCAAGGGGACAATCACTGAAGTCCTTGCCAATGTTCAAAGGTTTTAATTGGGCAAGGACGCGTCCACCTAACTGCAGCAAGAAATTAAAAGGGCAACTTACGGCAGGTGTAAAGACTCGTAAATATGAAAATATAAATATTATTATCATTATTTTTTTATTTGATTTTATTACTATTAATACTACTATTATTTGTTTATTTAATTTTATTGTTGAAATTATTATTGTAGTTATTGGTGTTGTTGTTATATAATATTAAGTGTATTTATGTGATAATAATTTGTGGTAGGTGAGAATGTAATTAATAAAAAATAGTAGGTTAGGGATGAAATAAAGGAAAAGAAAAGAAATGTATTTATATATATGTGTGTGTCGTTCCTTTGCTTTATATAATATAAGTTTTCTTTATACATGCACGTTAAAGGTTAAACTAGGACAATAAAATGGTTAGACGAATTATCTTCTTTTTTTAAGATTAAGAGGATTCTTCTAGTTGAAATTGTTTCAAATTAAACGAATTATCTTTTGCGGTTGACAACGTTTAAACAAATTACAACTGTTTGATAGGAAGGGATGTTGCATAAATTATTTTTATCAGCTTTGTTTTTTATTTATTTATTCTGCATTTAATTTTATTCCAGGAACCAATTGTAGTCTAATTGATATTGTAATGGCTGTTTTCGCTACCATGACTGTCATACTGCTTTTGGAACTAGAGACACATTACCACATTGGTTCAATTTTAATTTTTAATCGGTTACATACCCTTTGGAACTTAGATATATTGTCTTGAAAGTGAATAATGTGACTTTAATTTTGAAGTTTGAATTGTTGAATTTTGGGTTTTGAATTTGGTGCATTCTGAAGCGGGTTGTTGAAATCGTTTTGTATTGTTATGTTTGCATATATTTGGGTGTTGTAATTTATTTGGTGATCTGATGATGGTGGTGGTGGTGGTTGGCTGGGGAGGATGGAGGTGGTGGGCGAAGGAAACAGAGAAGAGAGACCCATTTGATATGTTGAGGTTAGAGAGACAAAAAGACAATGAATGTAGGTTACTTTAGGTAACAAATTAAGATGTATAGTAAATTTTTATGTCCATCTCAGACTTTGAGAAAATTTCATTAATTTGGATTAATTTTGATTTTATTCTTTCGTCCTTTAACCCCAAAGCTCCATTTTTATGGAATTATCCCTATATAATATATAAAGTTTTCTTTATACATGCACGTTAAAGGTTAAACTAGGACAATAAAATGGTTAGTATGGTTTATATAGGAAAACGTGTCAGGATGGTGACCAAGTGTTACGCTAAAATGAAAACAAAATAGTTAAAAGGAATTACAAACGTGAGTGAACTACATAAAGTAAATGAAAGCAAAATACATATATATATATATATAAAAGATGAAGTGTAAAAAACTCTCAGTAATTTTAAAAATATACAAATAATAAATATTTTTCTTGTTCAAATTTCATAAAGTCCGTTGGTAGGTAAATAAAGTGGGGCGGACGAAAAGACTAAAATGTCCCTCACTCTACTAATAACAAAAATAAAAAAAATAAAATAAAATAAAATAAAAAACTTAAAACATGAAATTACCTCGAAGGACAGACAAATGGGATTTACTAAGCCAAACTTTTCTGTTCTACGCAAATCTCACCCATCAAATACACCAAGGCCGGCCCTGAGATTCCAAATATATTGAGAGGCCCTAGGCGAACTTTCAAATGTGAGGCCCTTGAGTTTCACACGCGCAAAAAAGAAAGTGTGAAATTTTAACACGATGTTTTCAAATTCTATAGCTAATATAATTGTGCCCCTGTGCATTGTGCACAAGACAACTACCTAATAACTATAAATTTATCACCACCAACAAATAATTGTGCGCCTCTACAGTGTGCATAAGACAACTAACTAATAAGTATAAATCTATCACCACTAATTAATAATTATGCGCATATGCAGTGTGCTTAAGACAACTAACTAATAACTATAAATTTTTATCACCACTAATAAATAATTGTGCGCATGTGCAGTGTACATAAGACAACTAACTAATAACAATAAATTTATCAATTAAAGAGCGAAATTTTCACAGGCACAAAATGAAAAATGAAAAGAACAGTTTACTAGAGAACAGAAAACTGCAGCTTCTTTTACATTCATTGTTTATATAGCTAAAAAAATTTGATGATTACCGATGACAAAAATAGGTGGAGATGAGGTGACTATATATATATATATAGGAGACTGAACTTGTAGTACTGAAGAAGTAGTGAGACTTTTAGGTTATATGTGGCCTCCACTATCATATATAGTTTTGTCTTTCACTCTTTATATTAACCACACTACACTTTGTGTGTGTGTTTTTTTTGGGAGCCAATTACCCGCAGTGATTGATTGATCATTGCTACCGAAGACCTATGCAAATTAATAGAAAAAACCATTAACTTTTGTTTTGTCAGAGCCTGCTCTTAATTTCCATGTGTTTGTACATTCTGATGGCAAGTGCTTTGACAGTATTATTAACTGAAATTCTAGCTGAGCCAACTTCAAATAACATCAATAATGGTGGTATGTATCTTCATATAAAAATAAAATAAAATAAAAATTAAAAAAAAACCCTTAATTTGGCACTTCTAAGTATGAGCATAATTTAGAGATCGAAAAAGTTAATTATTACCTCAACCCACTAGAAGGGATCCTTAATTTTCGTGGGATTGAATGTGAAAATGCAAAAAATATGAGGAAAAAAGGGTATTGTTGCTGCTGTTGTGAGATTGGAGTGGACTTAGGGAGAGGAAAAAAAAAAAAAAAAAAAGTACGTGCCATAGATTATGGACTCGATCGCCATGAAAGACACATGTAGAACGGCACACATTTATTAAAATACTAAGAGAACCATAATATATTCATTCAGCTTTTGATAGCCATCACACACAAACACGAAACCCTAGCTACTTTTCACTATTGGAACAAAGGTAACGGCCCGAATCAAACGAACCAAAGTTAGAACAAATCAAATGATGAGATGACCGAAAGAAAGAAACATATATAAAAGATCGATTCATGCAAAAGGAGAGAGAAGAGAGAGAGAGAGGATGAACATACCTTATCACCTGAGGCGATAGCGGAGGCTACGCCCTGCGGAGTGTCGAAGTAGATTGTGTCGTCTAAAACTTGCCCTAACTTGTCGTCTAAAATTCCTTAACTGATATCATGCTACGAATCCGCGTCATAGCCTCCGTCCACAACCGTCGATTAATTTTGAATCCAAAGGCTATCATTCAAACTTTTCGAAGGTGGGATCGATCCGCATCATACCAAATGCCCATGCTTGCTTAGGTATGACGCGGATCGATCCCACCTTTGAAAAGTTTGAATGATAGCATTTGGATTAAAAATTAATCAACAGCTGTGGAGGCTATGACACGGATCCGTAGCATGATATCAGTTAAGGAATTTTACAGCAACTATTGAGGGGCTGGAGTCTTCTTTATTTTCTGGGTGAGTCACATCTGCTCCAAATATTATGGTTGGTATGTCCCTGACTAACGATATCCTACAGCTGATAGCATCCAGAAGAACAAGCAGTGTTTCTACCCCCCATCTGCACCATCAATAAGAACACTTAAAAAGTTGGCAATATTATGAATTCAATTGATATGGAATTAAGAATAAATTTGATAAATAATGTGAGAAGAGTATGAAAGCCCAAGCTAGATGCAGCAATGGCAAATATATCAGGGAAAAAATGTCGATGAAGTTTGAAAACAACATGTAGAACACATGAAATATATCAGTTTCAAGTATGCAGCTGAGAGAGCGAAATGTGAAATTTAAAGTGGTGTCCACAAGGATACATCGCACCCAGGCCAGCCCTGAGATTCCAAATATTTTGAGAAGCCCTAGGCGAACTTTCAAATGTGAGACCCTTGAGTTTCACACACGCAAAGAATTATAAGAGTGCGAAATTTTAACACGATGTTTTCAAATTCTACAACTAATATAATTGTGCTCCTGTGCATTGTGCATAAGACAACTAACTAATAACAATAAATTTATCACCACCTACAAATAATTGTGCGCCTGTACAGTGTGCATAAGACAACTAACTAATAAGTATAAATCTATCACTACCAATAAATAATTGTGCGTCTGTACAGTGTGCTTGACAACTAACTAATAACTATAAATTTTTATCACCACCAATAAATAATTGTGCGCAAATTGTGTGCATGTGCAGTGTGCATAATACAATTAACTAATAACAATAAATTTATCAATTAAAGAGTGAAATTTTCACAGGCACAAAATAAAAAATGAAAAAAACAGTTTACTAGAGAACAGAAAACTGCAGCTTCTTTTACATTCATTGTTTATATAGCTACTAAAATTTGATTATTACCGAATGACAAAAATAAGTGGAGATGAGGTGACTATATATATATAGGAGGCTGAACTTGTAGTACTGAAAAAGTAGTGAGACTTTTAGGTTATATGTGGCATCCATTATCATATATAGTTTTGTCTTTCGCTCTTTAAATTAACTACACTACGCTTTGTGTGTGTGTTTTTTTTGGGAGCCAATTACCAGCAGTGATTGATTGATCATTGCTACAGAAGACCCGTGCAAATTAATAGAAAAAACCATTAACTTTTGTTTTGTTAAAGCCTGCTCTTGATTTCCATGTGTTTGTACATTCTGATGGCAAGTGCTTTGACAGTATTATCAACTGAAATTCTAGCTGAGCCAACTTCAAATAACATCAATAATGGTGGCATGTATCTTCATATAAAAATAAAAATTAAAAAACCCTTAATTTGGCACTTTTAAGTATGAGCATAATTTAGAGATCGAAAAAGTTAATTATTACCTCAACCCACTAGAAGGGATCCTTAATTTTCGTGGGATTGAATGTGAAAAAAATTATGAGGAAAAA